TGTTAGCTCCCTCCCTGCCGCCACACATTTGTGAGGGAGTACATTTCAGGGTAACCAAAGAGTTGATGAGGGAAAGTTCTTTACAGAATTCCAGCTGATTAATGTACAAGAAATAAACAAATTTCAATACAACAATTTTGTGACTCCTTATGGAAAAAATGACTAGGAAGCAATCATCAATAGATAACAAAACAGTGATTCTCAGTCCTGCCTACACTTCAGAATCACTTGGGAACTTTTCAAAATATATCTCTGCCTAGGCTCTACACCCAGAAATTAAGATTCAGTCCGTCAGGGGTGAAGCCCCCTGATAGTTTTTTTTTTTTTTTTTTTTTTTAAAGCTCCTCAGGTGATCCTAATATGCATCCAGATTTAAGAATCAATGCTCTAAAACTATTAGGCAGATGGTTAATAGGGGATTTTCTAATAAGTGAATCAAGAAAGTAACACTGAATTCACTGATCAATCTTATAGTTACTAAAATTGGTGCTGTAGCGGTGGATCATGCCTATAATCCCAGCACTGTAGGTGGCCAAGGTGGGTGGATCTCTTGAGCCCAGGAGTTCAAGACCAGCCTGGGCAACATGGCAAAACCCTGTCTCTACAAAAATATAAAAATTAGCCAGGCATGGTGGTGCGTGCCTATAGTCCCAGCTACTCAGGAGGCTGAGGTGGGAGAAAGATTTGAGCCCAGGAGGTTGATGCTGCAGTGAGCCACGATCATGTCACTGAACTCCAGCCTGGGCAACAGAGCAAGATTCTGTCTCGAAAAGGGAAGGGGGCTGATAAACATGTTTTAAAATTGACTGAGGTTATGGTTGCATAATTCTGTGAATATACTAAAAAGCATTAAATTGTACACTTTAAATAGATGAATTGTATTTCACTAAGGCTGTTTTTTTTTAAAATCAAGATAAATTTCTATCTCTATGCAAACATACACACAGAAGACTACAGTGTTTTATTTAAATCTTTTGATTTTATATTTCTCTTTTCCTTTGCACTGACAATCTTGGTTCCTAATAACTTTAATATGACTATTTGTTTTATCTGTACCTACATCTATATCTACACCTATCTAGCTATATAAATAAAAATAGTATCTAAATAGCAGTATCTATGACACCAAATTCAGGAGAAACAGTGTAAGATTTTTTTGGTGTTTCTTTTTCTTAACCTGTTTCCCACTTGGGAAATATAGTGAAATTACTGTGTTATAAATACATTTTGAGAATTCTTGGGTGTTTAAGTCACTATTTTGATATACAGGTTTCATTTTAGTTATTTTTAAAAGATCACCCTTTTCCTCCCATTTTTTCCCTGATTTTAAATTTTGTTTTATAATTGTGTAATTTAGTTACAGGTCAAAACAAAGTGTTTTCCGAGAAATCTAGCTTCTACCCCTCCCTCTTCCAAGTTGTTTCTCTTTTATTGATAACCATTTATTTTATGGTTTATTCCTCCATTTTAAAATAAGTTATAAGCAAATACATAAATGATAGCTTTGCATTATATACAGTTGATTCTGCCTTGTTTTTAACTTAATGTTGTATCCTGGAGATCACTGTATACAGAGTTTTTTGTTCTTTATCTGCATAGTACTCCATTACATGGGCTTCAACATCCAATATATGGATGTGCTATAATTTCCTGACCTAGTCACTACAAATAGACATTTAGGTCATCTTCTGTATTTTGAAATTAGTAAAAACAGTGCTGTTATCTTTTCATATTTTTTTGCCAGTATATCTTTAAGATTCTTCTTTTTTTTTTTTTTGCTTGAGATAGGGTCTTTCTCTGTCACCCAGACTGGAGTGCAGTGGTGTGATCACAGCTCACTGCAGCCTCAAACTCCTGGGCTCAAGCAATCCTCCTGCCTCAGCCTCCCAAATGGCTGGGACTACAGGCATGCCCCACCACACTTTTTTGTATTTTTTGTAGAGATGGGGTCTCACTATGTTGCCTAGGCTGGTCTCAAACTCCTGGCCTCAAGTGGTTCTTCCACCTCAGCCCTCCCAAAGGGTTGGGATTTACAGGTGTGACCCACTGGTCCTAAGATAATTTTCTAGAAGTAGGAAGGTCAAGTCAAAGGGTAAACTCATAGGTAATTTTCCTTGATATTGCTGAATTCCCTTCCATTAAGTTGTTTCATTTTGCATTTCTACAAGTAATGTATGAGAGTGTCTGTTTCTCTACAGCCCAATCAATAGAAAATGTTGCCAAACTTTTGGATTTTTGTCAATGTGATAAGAATAGTATCTCAATGTAGTTTTAATTTGAATTTCTCTTACTATCAATTAGATTGAGCATATTTTCATATGTTCAAGGACCATTTGCATTTTTTTCTCCTATCTTTAGCCCAATAAAGATAGAGTTGTTGGTCTTTTCTCTTTTAAGAGCTCTTTATTAGAGATAATAAAAGTTGCAATTTTTTTTCCCAATTTGTCTTTTACTTTGCTCAGCTTTTTCTCCCTCCAATGTTTTTCTTTTAATTTACGTAATCATATTTATCGATCTTTTCCTTTATTGTTTTTAGATTTTGAGTCACAGTTAGGAAATATTTTTCCCATTTCCAGGATATGAAGGGACCACTCATGTTTTCTTCTACTATTTATATGGATTCATGTTTTCTTCTATTATTTATATGGATTCACTTCTTTGACTCATTTGAAATTTATCTTGATATATGAAGAACGGAATAATTTTTTACTTTTTTAAAATTTCATTTTAATTTTTGAGATAGGATCTTACTGTGTCACCCAGGTTGGGGTCCAGTGGTGCAATCATAGCTCACTGTAACCTCAAACTCCTGGGCCCAAGCAGTCCGCTCACATCAGCCTCCTGAGTAGCTAGGAATGTGGGTGTATGCCACCACGCTCAGATATTCTTTGAATTTTTTGTAGAGATGGGGTTTTGCTATGTTGCCCAGGCTGGTCTCGAACCCCTGGCCTCAACTGATCCTTCCGCCTTGGCCTCCCAAAACTGAAATTATAGGTGTGAACCACCATGTCCAGCCTTACTTTTCTCTTATACTAATATCTGAGTAAGGTTTTCTTTGCTGGTTTTACAGTCTATGCACTATGTATTTATTTGTCCATTCAGTCAAGAAAAAATTTTATGTGTCATACTAAGGGTAGGAATTTTGCATTTCATTTTGGAAAACAAAAAGTTACATTTTTACAGAACAAAAATCATACTGTGACCTTCTGTACTATTAAGTATTTTGAAAGGCTTTCTGCACTTTTGCAACTATTGGCATAAACTGCATCCTCTTTCTAGTTGTGCCAGGTAACATAAAATTAAGCCAAAGATAACCAACTCCTGGATTAGATAAAGCCATTTGTTAATTAAAATTAATGTTAAAAAGCATAAATTAAGACTAAATAGGAGTCATAGAACAGGGTAAATGCTCAATATCTTTTTAATTAAAATTCAGTGTGATTCTGTGTCTAATTCTTGTCGCCTAGGAAAAATAAGAATCCCTAAGTCTCTGAGGTTCAACTCTGAAAGTACATTAGGAATATCACCTATTGATATTAATGTCATCAATTTTTTACTTAATTCTTTCTCATGCTGACATTTTGTGATAAATATATACTGGTATTTTCATGAAAAAAACTAACTGGCTAAGTCACTAGCACAATTAGAACTTAGCACCAGGTAGAAACTAATACCTAAAGGAAAATGTACAATATTGAAAATAATTTAGGTTAGACATTATTTTAATTCTCATCTGCTGTGTGCCAAGTTCTAAAGAAATTTTCAAAAAGAATAAAAATTCCTAGATGAGAAAAATAGAGCAGATTGTAAATGTCAGGTCTCCAGGACAATAATGTCTCATTCTTTCACTTTAATGACTCAAGAATATAAGGATTCATTATTCAATAAATGGCTTCTGCTCTTATCTATAATAAAGAGAGCGAGGAAAGGAATAGATGACAACATCAAAGGATAACCTATAATCTCATTTTGGATACTGGATCTCACCTTCACCTTAAGCAAACCTATTAATTTCAACCATATCACATGAACAAAAACATCAGAATTTCGGCATTTTAAATCTCCCTCTCTTTCAGGTAGTGAAGTTCATGAGCTGGGAAATAATCAGAAAGTAGCAGGATGAGAGATGGCAAAAGTCTTAGATGACATATTGGCTATCAAAAAACTTCATTTTAGACATGAAGTTACAGCTGAGAATTTGTGACCTAAACAAAGTTAGTTGGGTGTAAGTCTTCCGACTCTGAGTCCAGTGCTCTGTCCAATATACCAATTCTACTAGTCAGGTCAGATAAGAAAAATGTACAGCTGGAACATTATTACCTAACTGCATATAAACAAAATTCCACTGAAAAAAAATTCTGTAAACATCACTTACAAGTAGATGACTAAAAAGATAATTCTACTATAGGATCTATGCTAAGTATGCCAAACATTTCAGAATCATAATTAATTTATACCATTTCAGATGGGAAAATTGAAGCTACCGTCAAATTTAGGTTAAAAAAAAATCACTGAGTACCTACTATGGATCAGGTACTGTAGAATGAGAGGATAAATTACTAAAACAAAGTCAAAAATAAGTATTTTTAACCTTTGGGACAAAGCTTATTTAGACTATACTCCTTATTAAAGAAAGTTAAATCTCAGTAGTCTCCTATACAATTATTCAATATTTTTGATGAAAAGAAGACTTCAGAGAGTTTTCCAAAATATAATACAAAGATGTGAATTCAAAAAATATTTATCCCAACATTTCTTAAATTACTAGGGACACTATTATAAGTAAAATAAATTGATAGATGCTAACTCCAGCTTTATGAATTCTCAATGCTAAGATCACCTTATTTCAATAATACAGCATTTATAATATTCTAATGCACTTTTAGAGATAGAACCAAGATACCCAATTACTTGTTTGAAGTGAAAACTGTCCCAATCTATCCAGAGTTGATGTCTTCCCTAAGTTTGCGAGATTTCTCATAGAAAAAGGAGACACATACCTTTCCATAACAGCCAGGCACTCCTTTCTCCAAGTAAATCGACTCCCTCGTCGTAGTCGGAAAGTACCAGATGTGGCAGAGACTGGGGGAGGCGTTTGTCTCCATTCAGGGTCCTCTATTGGAATGGGGGCTGGTCTCATACTTAGTGTAGCGCCTGAAATAAATAAGACAGTTTTAGCAAATATCTTGCAGTTAATTTAAACCAATATGACATCTACCTCCTATGGGACTAGGGAAGTATGGTCTTTGGCTTAGTGACAACTTAATCAATGTATCTTTCTCTGAAAAATTTCTTTTGAAATTCCTGCTTGATAGTTATACTTTTTGAACAATATACCTCAGATGTTCAGAATCTTTCATTACCATTCAAATAAGTTATGAGGTTAGGAATTTATGCATGTAGGAGATAAACTTAAAATAATCCTAATTCTTGTAAACTCTTTTTTTTAAAGAGTGAAATACAGCATGAAAGAAAATAAGATGATATTTGATGTGCTTTTTGTCTACTAACTAAATCAGGTCTCTATAGGTCTAGATGCTATACTAGATTCTGTTATCTCTTGAACATAATAAAATTTCAATGAAAAAGATCTATAATTGAGACATTTTACTAATTCAGATTACTCTTTTCTCAAATAGCTTGAACTGCCAATGACGCATTCATTATTCATTTACCATTTATCAAATCCTTTTCAAGTGGCTTGCTCCAGGCTAGAAGCTAAGAATACAACCAGGAAAGCAACATTGTCTCTGACCTCCATGAACTTATTTCATAGACTTCCAGTGTAACTTGGTATATGCTTTCATGGAGTTCAGTCCCTGGCTACCCCACTCTTCTTTCACTCCTTACACTATTAAATTCATCTTCCCAAAACGTAACTATGATCATATCGGTCTTCTAATCAAAAACCTTCAACAAGTTCTCTCTGCCTGTAGTTTAATTCAAACTCTTAATACAGGTCTAGAAAGACACATTAGAACCTGTAGTTTGTGCAAATATTAATGCATATATTAATTTTATGTTAATGAATATTAATAAATATTTCTTTCTTTCTAACAGAATTAATACTGTCTTTATTGTACCTTGCAAATAATACTATGGATAGCATTTCTACTTCAAGACTTACAGACCTATTGTAGATCCCTTTCTTAATAGCTACATCTTTAGACGTATTCTCTTACACAGATGTCCAAAATATTAATCAATACTGATTTTGCTTTTCAAACCTACTGTCCTGCAGTCTTTCCCATCTCAGTAAATAGATACCCACTCTTCAAACTGCTCAGCTCAAAATTCTCAAATTAATCTTTCACTTCTCTAATTCTCCCACATACCACATAACTAATTCATAGGCAAGTTCATTTTATCAAAATATTTCCAGTATCAGATCAATTTTTATTTCTTGCACTGCTACTACTTTTAGAACACGTCAGCATCATCTCTCACAATCATGGTTTCCTGGGACAAGTTTCAAAGACGGCTCTTCACAGTAAGTCATACCTCTGGTTAATCATGCCCTTGAATCTGGGTCAGTCCTATGACAGGTTGTTGAGCAAGAAAACCTAAACAATTCAAGGCTACGTTATAAGATGCTTTGAAATTTCTGCCTAGGTCTCCTAAAATGCTGGCTCTGGGGGAAACCAGAGTGGCCATATAAGAAGTCTAACTAACCTGAGACTATGATGTTGTAAGGAAGCCCAGGATAGCCACGTGGAGAGGCCACGTGGAGTGAAAGATGCTCTGACAGTCCCCAGGGGCTTGTGCCAACTCCACCCAGGTGCCAGCATTTGAGAGAAAAAGCCATCTTGGACACTGCAGCCACAGCAGACGCCACATGGAGAAGCGCAGAAACCAGGTGACAGACAGAAACAAGGCCTCAGACATTCAGTCCCGGCACATGAAAGTAGACGTCAACCTCCAACGTCCCTAAGGATCCCTGCCTCCTGGTCTGCACACCTCTGTGTAGTCCCTTCCCACACTGCACCATGATTAGGCTGTGTGACCAACAGCATGTGGCAGTGATGGTATGTCACTTCCAGGATCAGAATACAGAAGACACTGTGGCATCTGTCTTGGATGCTTTCTCTCTTATTCACTCAAGGGAAAACTACCTGCCATGTGTGAGGACGCTCAGGCAGTGGACGGTGAGGCCCATGTTGTGAGGAACTGATGTCTCTGACCAACAAGCAGTGAGGACCTAGGACCTGTCCACGTCCACGAGTGAACTTCCAAGTGGACCATCCAGTCTCAATGACTGCAGCCCAGGCTGACAGCTGGACGGCAACCTCTACAGAACTCTGAGCCAGAAACAACCAGTTAAGCCACTCCTGGATTCCTGATCTACGAAAACTATGAGATAATAAATGCTGATTGTGTTATGCTACTAAATTGTGGGTAATTTATTGTATAAGAATAGATAACTAATAAAAATTACCACAATCATCCCCAGTTGTTTATTTCCCTTTATCCCCCAATACACTATTATTAATTATTCAAATGTATAAATTTGGCAGCAAAAAATTTCCCTTTAATATAGAGGCTTCACTACTTACAAGAATGAGCATCTTCTCCTGTTTATTGACCATTTATATCTTTTCTTGTGAAGTCCTATCTGTTGTTCCTTTTATAGGGGGTTATTCATTTATTTTTTATAGTGTGCTTTGTGATCTTAATTGTAATATAGTCAAATTTGTCAGTCTTTTGTATTATGGCCAATGGGTTTGAATATCACTCAGGGTATTTTTATATCTTTCATTTTGTGTTTCAGCCCTTAGTATGTATGTGATTTCCTATAGCATGTGATGGAAAGTAAATATTTAACTACTTAACATTTCTGCTCAAACAAGTAAGCTTGTCATCATATAATGCTTTAGAGATTTACAGCCCACCCTGAAACAGAGTTGGCAAATTATACTCGCTGCCTATTTTTGTAAATAAAGTTTTACTGCAGCATGCTCATGCTCATTCATTTACAGATTGTCTATAGCTATGAATGCACTGGAACAGAAGAGCTAAGTAGCTGTGATAGAGATCATATAACCTGCAAAACCTAAAATATTCACTGTCTGGCCCTTTATATGAAGAGTTTGCTGACCCCTGGTTTAAAAACATTTCTGCTCTACCCAACATGAAATTCTAAACCGAAACTCTTCTTTAAACAATTTAAAAGGGTTTCACTCTGCCAAAATAAACTGAGAATTTAGTCTGGGCCTAATTGAAAGTTAACTAAGTTTAGACATAAGCAGGAATTTGGGGGCTGGAGGGTTTCACAGTCTTTAGTACTTTTCTGAAAACAAGCAGGGATTACAGCACAGCAAGAGCTCTGGAATCTACCTAATTAAAATTATGTAAATTTTATTCTACAGCAAGGGTGAAAAGGACTAAAACACAGCCAACCGGTTATCATGGCTGATCAAGATAGAGGTAGAAATAGACTCAGTAAGGGAATACAACCTCTTGTCTAGGGGCTGACCCTGGTAAAGAAAGAAAGAGTTTCAGGATAAAGGGTGGGCAATAGGTCATTGAATTCCAGGTAGTAGGCCACATCCATAATTGCGGCACGCTCCTCAGTAAGCAGAGTGATAAATGTGTACAAATAGAACAGAGAACAGAAAGAATCTTAACCAAGAGGTTGAAGGAAATAAGCCAACTAATAATAATGGTTCTTTCTTGGTATTGGGGTTTATTGTTAATATTATGCTTCTTTATAATATTCTGTATTGTCAAGAGCATCTCAAGAACTGAAGGAAATTCAGATGAAATAAAACTGGGCAGGAAGGAAAAGGAAAAGGGGACAGGAAAAAAGGGAAAAAAGGAGAAAAAGAAGATAGAAAAGTAAGTAGTGGCCTGGTTATTTTGAAAGAAATCAAGGCTGGGTGCGGTGGCTCATGCCTGTAATCCCAGCACTTTGGGAGGTTGAGGCAGGTGGATCACCTGAGGTCAGGAATTCAAGACCAGCCTGACCAACATGGTGAAACCCCGTCTGTACTAAAAATACAAAAATTAGCCAGGTGTGGTGGCGTACACCAGATACTCAGGAGGCTGAGGCAGGAGAATCACTTGAACCCGGGAGACAGAGGTTGCAGTGAGCCGAGATCGTGCCACTGCACTCCAGCCTGGGTGACAGAGCGATACTCTGTCTCGGGGGGAAAAAGAATGAAATCAAGACAGTTTACACACAGAAGGTGAAAAATGAATAATCTTAAATTCATCAAAATGCTTAATTTAAAACATACTATTACATTACTTTTCAGATTTTTTTCTGGCTCCTTTTTCTTTTTCAATGTAGCGGTAGTTAAAAACAGCACAAAAAAGTACTCTGGAAACACTCTTATTAATGAACAGATTTGTTCTGGAAACCTTAGTTCATCTTGTTTTGGTTGAAATGGATGAAAAGCAATGAAAAAATCCAAGAATGAGTTCAAAACTACGGACTCTAACAGAAAAACAAAAAGATACTAGAATGCAGGAACAATGTATATAAGCCTTTAAACTCCTCTGAAGTAAAATACAGGAGTTCTGGGTTAGCTAAGGTCCTAACAGGAAAAGTGTATTGTCTATTTCCTTACAGAAATGTTTTCTCCCCTCATCTAAGTTTTCATTAAAACAAAACTTTGCACCGTCACCTAGCAAATCTAAACCCATGAGGAAAACAAAAACAAAAACAAAAAACAAAAAACCTCTTTTCATAATTTGTTAAGAGATTTAAAAATTTTGTTAAGTGTTCTCGTTACATATATGATAGATAATGTTCTTGCTGATCAGGGTTAGCTCTGGGTGAGGGACTATAAGCACATCATTACTATGCCATCCATAGGAACTAGCCTCTCCAAAATTTTACATCTCCCCCTATGTCACACACATGTTTCTCTGAGATCTAACACTCTGAAAGTGAAGGACTGGACATTTCTTCTGATGACATTTATCTCATGTACTTGCTGCATAACCTTCTTGGCAAATTTTATTTCATTGTTTAGAAACATGCAGAATATGCGCCACATGCCAAGAGGAACTCAGCAAACCCCGTCTGGTATAGTAATGTTTAAATTAGACAAGGGAAAAAGACTGTGAACTTAATTTGATCAAATAAAGGGACTTTTGATGTCAACCATGCTGAATTTAGCACTCACTTTAAAAAAAAAATAGGTATTTTCTTGTAAGTGTTTTCAAAAGAAACAAGATAAAATCTATCTGATTCGTCTACATCAGCCTATTTTATTAATATGCCTTGGCAGACTTTCAGTTATGCTGGTAAATTCTGATAATGAGTCTGTTATCAGAGAACTACACTATATCAACTGGGTTATCAGTAAAATTAACCTAAATATCCATTCTATTATTTTTCTTGCTGAGTCCACTTAAAGAGAAACTTACAAAAAACCAAAAGCCATATCCAACTGGATCCAGACTGAAGAGGTTGAAAAAAAGAACTTCCACTGGGTGCGGTGGCTCATGCCTATAATCCCAGCACTTTGGGAAGTCCAGGTGGGTGGATCACAAGGTCAGGAGTTCAAGACCAGTCTGGCCGACATGGTGAAACCACATCTCCACTAAAAACACAAAAATTATCTGGGCGTGGTGGTGTGTGCCTGTAATCCCAGCTACTCCTGAGGCTGAAGCAGGAGAATTGCTTGAACACGAAAGGCAGAGGTTTCAGTGAGCTGAGACTGTGCTACTGCACTCCAGCCTGGCGGCAGAGCAAGACTGTCTAAACAACAACAACAAAACAAGAACTTCACTCAAAGTATACAAAGAGAAATGCTCTAACGCACGGGAATAGAGTCATAGAACATACAAACATTTTTGTTTTCTAAATGCTTAAATTTACAGAAGAAAAAAGAAAAAGTAGTTTTTCATTTTGTGACTTTTCTTAATTTTGCATTTTCTTCTCAGAGTATATGTAAAGGGATCACATTATTTACACTTACCCTAATGAGCTATCTTTCCTAGACAGACAAAAAATTATGAAATAAAAGAATTACTTGATAAAAATCACAGACAACTTATTTTCTACTTGCTTCTCAAAAGCAGGTCTGGACTATATAAATCTAAGTTTTTCCTTCTCTTCTCTTCTCTTCTCTTCTTTCTCTCTCTCTCTCTCTCTCTCTCTCTCTTTCTTTCTTTCTTTCTCTTACAAGGCAGATTGATTTCTTTTGGTCTCTCCCTCCTTCCTATTACACTTTATTTTTCAAATATGCAATACAAGTACATAGTACAAAATTTAGAAAGACACATTAGGCTGTGTAGTTAACACCTTACCCCTGTACTCCCAGTCACTCAGTTCCCCTCCACAGAGCTATTCTTCCCAGTTCCTAACACAGCTTTTCAAAGATCTTCTATGCTGAGGTAAGTATATACATGTGTATGTGTGTGTGTGTTCCCCTACATAAATATGCCCTTGATACTGTTATGTACCTTTTTTTACTTATGAATTCCATATCACCTCATATAAATTTAATTCATATAAAGCTGCCTTCAAAAAGTAGTTATATAGCTCCATAAGATTCCATTGTTCAGATGTGCCATTAATTTATTTAACCAGTTCTCAATTGAGGGACATTTGGGTGGATTCTAATCAGGTCTGAAATGACTTGCAACAAAGGATCTGCTGTCCTATAAGCTAACATAATTTTAGTTCATCTTAACCAAACGTAATAGTAGCTCCAAATTCTTTAGCTAAAATCAAAGGTTATTTTACAGTCAACAAAACAAAATCATTTTTATCAAGAAAGAATTCTATGCCATATTTGCCTTTATAATAAAGGTGAAAATACAAAGAAAAAGATAAACAAATTTCAACTGCTAATACCCAATTGCTGTTAATGCAACAACAACTACCAACTGGCAATTATGAACTTACCCTCTTATCTCTGGCTGCCTTTAAATTATGTCCCACAGAAAAACTTGACAAGAAAACCAGTAGTTAGGATTTGGTTTTTAAACAAAAAATAGAAAGTATTTCTTTTAAAAAGGTGACAATAATGCAACCTCACCAAAAACTAAATGCAGATAATTAAAGGAACATCTTAAAAGGAGGCACTATGTCCTTAAAGAAATCAGCTCCTAATGATCAGACAGAAGAATGCTGTTAGTTTCAATTCCCTAGTTCTACCTTCCTCTAATTTCCCGATAATGAGTGGGCCCAGCTCTGGTTTCAAGATAAACTAAAATAGGAAATAAGACTTTTAAAAGCTAAAATAAATAACAATAAAAAAATAAATAAAACCAGTTTTGAAAGAACACTATCAGCCCAGTGCTAAAGCTGGACTCCTGTAGTTAGTATCCAACAACTGGCTATCAGATCAGCTGCAACAATGCCACCGTGGCCCTGGAGCTGCACCTTAGTTCTCCCTCCTGTTTCTAGTTCAGAGCCGGACTAGAGCCCAACCCCGAAACTCCAGTGAGGGAATTTGGCCTTACCAGTTGATTACCCCATTTTGCAATCCCCATTAGAATAACAGATTCAATCAAGAATCATCAATGAATGCTAAGGCCATTGGTGAAAGCTGCTGCAGGAAAGGATATTTATCCGGGGCAAAATGTCACCCTAAAGATTATTCACAAACTGCAAAGAAAAGATCTGGTGGTTACCATTTTAACAAAACCATCAAACTTGGCATATGAATAGTGCTACAACCTTCTAATGCTGACAGGCCTTTTAATATGTGGCAATATTAGGTAAACACTACCTACAAAGTATTTTTCCCCAGTGTTTCATTGCAAAAATTTTCAAACATACAGTAGTGAAATAATTTTTTAAGTGAAAACCATACTCATACCACATATTTTACTTTATCACATACCTATCCATTTCCCTAAATATAAATCCATTTTATTTTCTGATGCATTTCAAAATAAATTGCTGCCATTAGTACGTGCCTCCCTAAATAATCTATGAAGTAATCTTGCCTAAAATATTCAACATGAATCCTAACTTCAGATTTTAATTCTAACTTCCAGTTTACAGAAATATAGAAGATAAAGAAATGAGATATTTGATAATAAAAGTAAACAGAAAAATCCAGCATGTGGGACATTCTGTCAAATTACATGGCTTAAGAAGTTCATGTCATTAACAAAAAAAAAGTTTGGGTTACTAGATTTAAGAGACATCCTAATTTTCCAACCTAAAAGAGATACTAAAAAAAGAGCTACAAAAGACATTCTTCTAATGGCTAGAGAAATGTGACTCAGACTGGATATAAAATGATAATATGAAATTATTATTAATTTTCATAGGTATAATAATGAGGACTGTGGTAATACAGATTATCTTTATTCTTAGGAGATGAATGCTGAATACACACATACATAAATCTTAATTTATTTCTTTTATAGGAATAAAGCAAATGTAAAATGTTAATAATTTTATATATATATTTATATATATTTTTTTTTTTTTTTTGAGACAGGGTCTCCCTTTGTCACCCAGGCTGGAGTGCAGTGGCACCATCTCCGCTCACTGCAACCTCTGCCTCCCGAGTTCAAGCAATTTCCCTGCCTCAGCCTCCCAAGTAGCTGGGACTACAGGCATACGCCACCACACCTGGCTAATTTTTGTATTTTTAGTAGAGACAGGGTTTCACGATGTTGGCCAGGCTGGTCTTGAACTCCTGGCCTCAAGTGATCTGCCCACCTGCCCGCTTCAGCCTCCCAAAGTGTTGGGATTACAGGCATGAGCCACCACACCTGGCCAAATGGTAATTATTATATCTATCTATTAATTACTATATCTAAGAAAGAGTAAACAGGTGTCTACTGTGTTAGTCTTTTGAATTTTCTGTACATCTGAAACATTTCAAAATAAAAATTGGGGGTCAGAACAGATTTTTAATATTATTGTAGAGGTTGATATGGTCTCTTGTGTTTCACCCTGCCTGGACCATTCGGATTGAGAAACTGACCTTTGGGGAAAAAAATCTTATCACATACTTAAATACAAAAATACATGTCTATGACATTCTTTATTTCTACCTCAGAGCCAATGCTACAGTCTGTGTGCAAAGGCTTTAAGGCTGCAGCATTACAGAATACACAACCCAATCATAAATTTACACATGAGGGCAGGCTCACTGCCACTTGCCTGCGTAAAGTATAGATTGAGATAGTCCCATAACTTCAGATTTTACTTTATAAAATCACCTGTTAAAAGTATCTTGAATAGATCTTGCCTACTTCTTCCAACTCTAGACATACATTTTTTTGTCATCTTAGTTTTCTTAAGATTTCATTCTGCTTTCCAATCTACTGCTGCTCCTGGGAGTCATCAGGGCAGCTGCATCCTAAAGTCCAAAGACACATCCATTACCCAGGTCATTAGAATTAGAAAAAAAGAAATCATTAGCAGAGATCATTGGATATGGTACAGCATGAATTAAATAAAAATATTAAATTTACATTACTAATTCAAACAAGATTTGCCAAAAAAAAAGATACGGAATCTTACATAGTTATGTAGTTGAAGAAAACAAAATCAGCCACTGAACATTCATGGCGTTCTTTCCAACTATGGCTAGAAATATCATATAACCTGAAAGCAAAGAGGTGTCTTAGGGGAAGAAATGAATACAACTAGATAATATTAGACAATAAAATAAAATTTATTACAATCAGGGTTTAGCTTTTGCCGTTAAGAGTGTTTTTCTGCATAAAGCAACCATAGTAAAGTATGAAACTATCTTACTGAACAAGTTAGCACATGGAGTCATTAAAGTAATTCATTATATCTGTCTTGTTTCAGATGCAATAAATAAAAGAAAATGCTATTTACCAGGGTTTGTCTTCTCAAGTTGATACCATCGGTAAAATGCTCTTTTCTTCTGTTCACTCAGATCTGATCCCTGCTGCAACAGCCAATGAGAGATCCGGCTCTGACTGATACCTACGTAGAAAGAGAAATAAGTTTTGGGGGGCACAGAAATTACAGTGAAATTAATAAAGGTTCCTTTGGTTCTAGGTTACTGGGTGCTTTATTCTCTGTGTCCAGTCCATAAGGAAGTTGCAACCTGAGCAAACTATTATTGGATTTTGTAATAAGACTGTAAAGACTGAGCTGGCTAGGATATACTCAGAAATTATCTCTTAGATGTCAAGGCAGTTTATTAATTAAGACCCGACAATGGCCTCTAAAATTAATCTCCAAAAAAGGTCCATGAATCTGAGATAAAGATTCCTAAAGTAAGAGTTATTTGTCAGAGTTTATTATATTTGTGTTCCTTCAATTACCACTGCTCTCCATTCCACCCCTAATTTAGAATAATAAAACTTTTAACAGATATTGAGCAAAAAAGTCAAGTCAGCAAGTTTTGTTACTCATTACAGATATTGACCAAAAGATTTAGGGGCTAGGAAACAAAAGGTCATTGAAAATACTGTCTTAGTAAGGTTTTTTTTTTGGCTTATTTGTTAATTCATTTAGCCATTTTTAGAGTCATTACCATTAGTACAGAGAAGAATTAGCAGACTTTTAGAGTTATGTATGCTACAATATGACCTCTTAAGAAATCTCAACAGCTAAAGACATTTTTCCAACACATGCTTTCCACAAAACTGAATAGAATATAAAGCAGTAGTTTTCTGCTATCTCCAAGAAGCTCTTGACAGCAATTACTTAAAAATGTAAAGAATCTCTACATCTGAAAGTAAAAAAGCATGCCTAAACCTTACTAGTATGAGAATTACATGTTCATTTGATCATTCATAGCTATTCCAAAAAGTGAGTAATTCAGTACAAACTGGCAAAAGCAAGTAACAATGGGAAAGACAAAACTGTCTTGTAAGTTCACAAGGCACTTTCCAAAAGACCATTCAGCTACCAGAGAAGGTTACCAATACCTAAAACCTCCCAAGGAATTACTGAGGGTAACCTAATATTACTAAATACCACCTGTGTTGACACCTGTTTAAAGCTATACTGCCCAACAGGAAGAGCAGCTATCATGAAGCAATCATACCCTCTAACATCAGAAAAAGCAGGAGGTCCCGAGGATCACATTTAACTCATTAAAAGCAAGCCCCTAGAGTTTCACACACTTAAAAACCTATGTCAAAAGAAAATTTGAGGAAATGGGAGAGGGGAGTGTTAAAAGAAAGACTGTGAAGCAAAGTTCTCCAACTGGAAACATCTTTCGTTTTTCTTTTTCTTTTTTGAGACAGGTTCTCACTCTGTCTCCCAGGCTGGAGTGCAGTGGCGCAATCATGGCTCACCACACCCCCTCACCTCGGCTTCCCAAAGTGCTAGGATTAAAGGCATGAGCCACTGTACCAGGCCCCACCACATCCAGCTAATTTCTTATTTTTCCTGTAGAGACGGGGTCTCACAATGTTGCCCAGCCTGCTCTCGAACCCCTGGGCTCAAGTGGTCCTCCTGCCTTGGCCTCCCAAAGTGCTGGGATTATAGGCACAAGCCACCATGCCCTTCCTGGAAAAATCTTTCAATTTCAAAAGGCAAAATTCAAACAGCTTTCCAAAACCTAAGTGATTATATTCTCAAATAATTCACACAGCAGTTTTCCAGTGGACTAAAGATTTATGTGATGGACGCACTGTATGCCTTTTCTAAGAAAATGCAAATTATTCTGGATAATTAATTCGGCTTTCACCAAAAGTCTAGTTTCAGACATTATGGTATCTTTTAACACTACTTTTTTTTTTTTTTTCTTTTAAACATAGTTTCACTCTGTTGACCAGGCTGGAGTGCAGTGGTGTGATCTCGGTTCACTGCAACCCCCACCTCCTAGGTTCAAGCAATTCTCCTGCCTCAGCCTCTCGAGTAGCTGAGACTTCAGGCCTGTGCCACCATGCCCAGAAAATTTTTGTATTTTTAGTAGAGATGGGGTTTCACTGTGTTGGCCAGGCTGGTCTTGAACTCCTGACCTCAGGTGATCCGCCCACCTCAGCCTCTCAAAGTACCCAGATTATAGGCATGAGTCACCGCACCCAGCCTATACTGCTTTTCTAAAGGGTGAAGAAAACAACCATCATGAAATCAACATTGATTTTCATGTTAGCAAAATAAAATTATTTTACATGAATTTTTCATGTTGCTATCATACTACTCAAAACAGAAAACTTCAGAAAAATTGGTTAGGAAAAAATATATTATCAGCTCTGTTAATTGGTTCCAATATGAAATCTTCCTTAGTCAGATCATACATAGAACAAGCCTCAGAACTCGCTAGACAACAGTGCTGTCCAGGTTCTGACTTTGCTATAGTGAGAGAAGAGGACAAAATCTCATCAAACGGACGTTAGTTAAGTTAGAGTATATTATATAACAAAACACTTGAAGGTTTTAAAATTAATGCTTTTAAAAAGCCATAAAAAAACCCAGAAAACTACAACAAAAAAGCAGAACCAACCAAACAAAAAGCCATCAATACCAAATGTTGGCAAGGTTATAGAGCATATAAGATTCTCACACTGTTGATGGAAGGGTAAAATGGCAGGGCCACTTTGGGAAATAGTTGGATGATAACTGCTAGAGCTGAACGTATACATACTCTATGACCTAGCAATTTTTTTCCTAGGCCTATATCCCACAGAAATGTGCACCTGCTCAACAGAAGTATGTTCAGAAGAGACAAGAAGGCTCTTATAAACATTTCCATAATAGACCCCAATGTGAAACAACTAAATGCCCATCAAGAATAGAATGCATTAGCCAGGCGCAGTGGCTCACACCTGTAATCCCAGCACTTTGGGAGGCAGAGGCGGGTGGATTGTCTGAGGTCAGGAGTTCGAGAACAGCCTGACCAATATGGTGAAACCCCATCTCTACTAAAAATACAAAAATTAGCCAGGCATGGTGGTGTGTGCCTGTAGTCCCAGCTACTCGAGAGGTTAAGGCAGAACTGCTTGAACCCAGGAGGTGGAGGTTGTAGTGAGCCAAGATTGTGCCACTGCCCTCCAGCCTGGGTGACAGAATGCCACTCCGTCTCAAAAAAAAAAAAAGAATGCATCAACTGTAATAGCTACACATTCTATTACAGGCTACTATACTAAATAGAAAAAGATAAACTACCGCTATATGAAACCACATGGATAAACATCACAAAAATAATGTTAACTGAAAAATCTTATAACACAGACACACATACACAAAAGGCATACATAACTATATATGATTCATTTTATATAAAGTTATAAAACAGACACGACTAATCTATAGGGATGGAAATCAGAATAGCAGTTACACACATGGGAGGGAGAAGGTTTCTGCCTGGGAGTTAGAATGAGGAAGGTTTATGTGGTGACCAGCATTTCTCTTTATCTCGATCTGGAGGGTGGTTATATGGGTGTCCTCACTTGACTTTTATGTGTCCATTAAGTTGGACAGTTTTCTGTGTATATATTTAAATTTTAAAAAGTCTCCCCAAAAATGTTTTTAAAATTCTATGTAGTTTCAAAAAAATGAAGTAAATGGATATGTATCAATATGGAAAGATGCCCATGAAATAAATGAAAAGGTATATATTTTTATGAATATACAATTTTACATATTCTAAATTCTGTCTGTATAGTAACAAAAGCTACTATATAACTAAAGATATACAATATGAATTTAAAGTGGCAGATTCTTCCTACATTTCTATCTCTATATTGTTTTCTTAATCTTTCTATAAATATGCATTAATTATTTTTGGCTTTTCACCCTAAATACTACATACAGAACTTTATTGGTTATTTTAACAACCAAATAGTTGCAAAGAATTTCTGTCCTCCCCCTCCAATTCTACTTTCTGAAGTAAGCAAGGTTAGCTATTTACACATACGTTGTTCCACAATTTTCTCTATATGTAATTACTACTTTAATAAAACAAAGGGAGAAGAGAAATATAGAATATTCTCCTGTCTTTTGTGTGAGGAAGAAATAAACAAGAATTTCTTCCCTCTAAATTTAATCTCAGTATTCACATAATAAACGTAGAAAATAAGTAAAGCAGGTAGTTTTTCCAAAAGAGGCACTGTAAAAAAAAATAAATAAAAGCATAAAAGGACACATTTTACAGTGATTTTTCTTAGCAGCCTGTTAACAGATGGGTAAGGCTCCACAAACTCATGCTTCGAGCTGCTTTGGTCCTTCAGCTGAGCACAGTCTCATAAGCCCTGGCAGTCTCTTGATACTATCAGCTTTGATACTTTTCCTCAGGAGAAAATTTCCCTAACTTTCCACCTACTTCCCACTGCAGAAGAAAATGTCACTGCCCATAAGTTTTAGTTCCGCAAAACCTCATCTTGTCTACTTCTGACAGGGCAGAGGAAAAGAAAACATTTACATATAAGCTTCACACATTGAGAGACTAAAACTAAGCCCTGATTAATTTCTTTCCAATAAGAAAGTTATCACATGGTATTCAAAGGAAGAAAAGCCTTTCCAGCCTCATTCACATTATTTTCTGAGCAGCTGCATCAGGCTATGTGTTCCTCAAACACCACACTCCCTTCCACTAGAGGGCTCTCCACCATAATCCATTCTTGTCAGAATCTCCAGTATCACTAATTTATGTTTAATTTTCCTTCCACTTCCTGCGGAGTGACACTACTGACTACTCCCATCATCTTCTTCCTTGGAATGCTGGATACAATTTCAACACCACATCTTTTCAGTCGACTTCAGGGCTGCTTTGCTAGCTTCTAACGTGTTAGTGGCCCTCAGGATTCCTTTGGTCATCTCAGTTACCAACAACATTGATTTAAAATGTGATCTAAATGCCAATGACCTCCAGGGTATCAGACCATTCTTTCAAACCATCTGCTAGATAGCGTCCATGAGATTTTCCCACAGGTCCTCAACACAGTCAACTTAACTCACTATCATCCTTAAATCTGTTCTTCCCGTGTTCTCCATCTCAATTTTACTGTTCACTCTACTTTCCCCCC